CCCCCCCCCCTTCAGCCGGAATGGATTAATTACGTTTCTGATTGGTCTTGCAGTGCTTTGTGGTTTTTGGTTATTTTTTTTCTTCAGCCAAAACGGATTAATTGCGTTTCAATGCATTCCTATGGGAAATGGTGCTTCGACTTACAACCATTTCGAGTTACAACCATCTTCTGGAACGGATTAAGTTCGTAAGTCGAGGCACCACTGTATTGTTTTTTAATGTTGGGAGCCGCTCTGGGTCCTCTTTAAGGAGAAAGGTAAGGTAAAAATATTTTGATAAACAAATAATATAAATGATGGCTGTATGTTCATGAATTGCCAGTTGTTGGAGAACAACAAGCAGAAAGATGCTATTAACCTTCTATTTGTGTGCTTCCCATTAGGGCACTTGGCTGGCTATGTAAAAAACTAAATACTGGATTACACAGGCTCTTTATCTGAGCCAGCAAGTCCCTTCTTGTGTCATGTGCACTGGCTCTCACAGCTTTATCCACATATCACCGAACAGCTGCTCAGTATAAATGAGTATATGCTATGACAAATGTTCTCTGCTGCCAGCCACACTACTGTTCCCCTTTCCTTCCTGATTCTGTGGCCCCTAATTCCAAAACTCAGTTCATTTCTATATTCACTTTTGCATCTGCTGTTGTCATGTATCTGTATTAATAATAAATCTTTGCAAAAACTCAAAAGAACCAAACAACACACTGAGACGTAAAGCAAAGAGTTATATTACCTCATCATTGAGCCAATTGAGATTGTTAAGGGTCTGAATGTCTTTTCTAGTTATAGTTAAGCGGAAGGCTTCACTCAGCACCTCATCCTGGTTCCCACTTCGTAATACGTTCTTTATTTCTCTCTCCATTTCCTAAAGGAAATACATGACATGAAACAGAAAGATGTTTTGGTTTCTGCAGTTGAGAAGCTTGAGGCAGTAACATTCAATCCTGGCAGCTGCCATCAGAAGTGACACAGTCCGGAAACTGTTTTACGACCCAATCAACCATTTTTGTAGACTAGCTTCTAGTGCCTCACCAAGCCTCCCAGCACCAACTTTAATAACATACCTCTGTAATGTCAGGAAACTGCTCTTCACCATCTTCCACTTTGTTGTCCTCTGGAACAATCGTAACAGGAATCTCTTTCTCAAGAGGTACACGCAGATGTAAGTCTACTGAGTCAGGTATTGAGATCTCCTGTTTCTGTAATCTCTAAAACACACATCCATCACATAGCAAACTCTCTTTTTACAGACTGGATTTCTCACTTTCATCGGCTGATGCATGAAAATGGTTTAAGCTATCAGATTTATTCTGAGACTGACTTTACCAACTGAGGAGGGGAAATCAACTATGAAACCCACTGACTGATTTTAATAGGATTTCAGTTTCAAGTTTGCTTATTAGTTTGAAACAAAGCAATTAAATTTAAAGCAAAGAAGCCAGGGGACAAAAGTAACCACAGCAATAATGTTGTCTTCAATTGTGGCAAATACTATTATTCTAGCAATAGCTAGCAAGTGCTTGGGGAAATCTGCTAAAATTTACCAGCTAGGATTTAACACAAACTTTCCTTTTAAAAACTTAATGCCTTTGAACTTCTCACCTGGTTCTGTAGCTGTAAGGCCAAAGCCTTCTGCTCTTCTATATGTCGCAATCTCTCTCGTGCTCGGAAATCATATACACTGGTTCTAGAAAGATTTTTGCATAACAGTCTGAGCATTCAGCATTAGTAGCAATGAAGAAATATATCTTTTAGCTACATCGAGTTATTATATGTTTTGCATTCTTCTCCACTTTTCTGGGGCAACCATTCTGAGAGATGGGATAGGAAGCATTAGACCAGACCACCCCAATACATCCAAATAGACTGCCCACATGCCACTGCCAAATGAGTCCCTCACATGCATCTCTGAATAAATGAAAAGGGAAGAGAAGAGGGTGTGGAATTTATCAAACAATAAGATTTCACTTTGATGCTTAAATGGCTCCACGCCCAGCATGCCCAAATATCTTCCTTCTGTGCATTCACAGTGTGAAATTGGATTATATGGAAAACTTTTTACCTACAGATACACAGACTAGCTAGCAATACTGTGGATATTTCAGAAATGAAGGAGTTATCTATTTGGTAGTCCCCCCCATCACCTCTTCAAAGGAGAAGAGGCTGAAGACCACTATCTAGACTCACTGAATGGGTGTGGAAGCAACTGCAGCAAAGCGTTGTTTACTAAATAATGGGACAAACACATGTGAGATGCTTTCAATTAACAGTCAAAGAAGAAGTTTGCATTCATCAAGTTTTTCTCAGCGTTCCTCAGCCATTTCCTTATATCTGATGTAAGTCAATAACATTTATCTCTGAAGCACCAACAACTGCATCCAGCATCCTCTAGGGACACAGGCATGCAGATAATTTTGGGAAGCAGTTCTGGTCTTCTCCCAGTGATGCTGGTGATGTTTGCAAGGGGTTAAGGCTGGGGTAAATGATATTCTCTAACAACTGTAGCATAAGAACTTGAAGCATTTGCTCAAAAAAAAAGCAGACAAGAAAAAAAATAAGGAAGCTGATTCCTAAATATGCTGTGTTTGCTTTAATCCAGGTGGGAAAAGCAGTGACAAAAGTTTTGATCCATCTTGTTTAAAGAGACGGCAAAATCTTGGCTATTTTATTACACACTGGCCAGAATTCTGTTGGCTCTGCCCATGTAAGAGACCAATAGTGGTGGAGTTTGGACATTAAAGGCTCCCCCTTCCATCCCAATGCCCCTCAAAGCTTCCCAGATCAAAAGGGATCCCTAGGGAACCTCAAAACCTGGGGGGCGGGGCAGTGGGAGGGAAAAGAAAACTTTTACTTGAAGATAGAAAGCTGTAGCTGTGCCAAAAGATTTCCAGCCACCAACCCTGTGAACCATCAATGTAATCCTCAAGACTTGAAAACAAAAAAAATACTTACAATTCTTTGATCCACAATTCAGCCTCAAAAAAAGGTGTGCTAGAAGAAGAAAGGGAAGAAGATATAAACGTTCCTTCTACTTCAGAAAAAGATTGTTATTTTGTCTGACTTTCTTCTATGACATTTTTGAAGGAGAATTGAACAGAAAAAAATTGGTACAGACTTGGTCCAGCTGCAGAACTTACAACCAAACTTTCAGAAAATTTAACAAAAGTTACATTAAATTGGAAGAAATTTCAGAATACGTGAAAGGGCCATGCTGCCTGCAAGGGTGACACACAGGAAGGAATTGCTGATGAGGATGCAATGCTGGGAATCCCTCACTAGATGTCACTGTAATTAGGCTACAATAAAACCAGAGGGAGAGCTATGACTTGACACCTGAATGCGCACATATGCTGTCACCATCATATATTTACTGACTCCTGTTTTCATAGCCTAGAAGTAGGGAAAAAAGGATTGGAAGAAAGAATACCTATGGACAAAAAAATACAACTTCAAAAGAAAGTTGAAGAGAAAAAAAATCAAAGCAATTACTGTTTCAATATACAACAATCAAAAGAATCTGCCCAACAGGGACCCCAAATTCCTGCTCAACTAGGAGAAACAGCTGGCTAAGTTGTGATTTGGATCTTCCCAGAGTAGCCATACGGGTACACACACACTGCAATCTGGCATCCGAACAAAACATATAAATAATACAAATACTGTAATACAAACTTCACTAACAAAAGTTATCTAGGTATGCCCTCACTGTGCGAGGCACCACTGTACTGTAATACAAACTTCATTAACAAAAGTTATCTAGGTATGGCAAAACAGGCAGAAGGCTAAACAAACTGGGCAAACATCAGAAATAAGGAGGCTAAAGCCCATTACACAAATGAGATAATAGTAATTTACAAAATAAAATGTAAAGGGTCCAGATGATTTCAAATTGACTTAAGCACAACTGTCTTAAATTAGATCTGAAACCTACCCACCCTGCTTTTACATCACTGTGCATTTCTAGCTGTGCCCCCCACGAGTCCGAAAAAGAGAACTTGCCTTGGAGCTGGAGGCTGTGCATCTTTGCCATTAAGCATTATGACAGAGTCAGAACCTAAACGGAGAGTAGGACAGAGAAAGATTAAACTTAAGCCTTGTAAGTGAACTTCTTCTGACAGAGAAGCAAACCCCACCTAGAGTGCATCATTTAACTGTATGGTTAAGAGTCACTTTCCTGATGATGACAACAGTTTTAATGCTCCGGATTCGTATTAGGCAGGTACTGAGGTTCCCACTGGGCCATCAATTTATGAAGCGACCATGGGAAATCATGTTTTAGATTGCAATTCAAAACGCAGTCCACCCTGAAGTACATAAGATTAAGATATGGCTGTAAGCCTCCTATTTTAAACATGTAAATAACAGGATGGCACCGCAGAAGTTTGCTGCCAGGAGAAAGCAGGCACTAAATTTGTGTCACTGGATGATGTGAAGAAAGGAATCCTGGGTACTGGTGTCTACTACTTTTACCTTCGGCCTGTGCATCCAGGGCATGCCGATTATTTTGCTCAGCTGGCGTGCTTGTGTCCTTGGGTTCAAAGGTAACATGTGAGGGGAAACTGTGGATTGGGTGTGGCAGATGTTTGTGAGAATGCTGCTCCTGAGTCCTGAAAGTGCCAGAGGACGGGCTGCCTGGAGGGAGACCATACGCATCAAAGGGTTTCCTGTACTTGTTTTCGGCTTCCGTCACAAGGCTTTTGCTTGAAGGTGTACACCTGGGTCTGAAAACAAAAACAAAAAAGTAGACCATCCAGAAACAAGCAAAGCGGATGACCAACTGAATCTGTATATTTCAGAGACTCACAGGTGGAGAGACAACAGTGACGAGTTTTTGGAAGTAGAGTGTTTCTTTCCTGTAACCATTTGAATCAGCTGCCTATAAATTTCTTTTTCTTCTTCTCGAACTGTCTGTGGAGAGATAATCACACATACTGTATTTCAAGCAGTTATCTTCTGGATCTCTGTAGTCAAGAAATATACTATCATATGCTAGGAATCTTCAAAGTTTATCTGCTTATCAATGAGAACCTTTAAAAAAACCACATACATACATAAAGAACAGCTTAAGCCTCTATATCAAACAAATAACTTGGAAGGCAAAGATCTGCGAGTCCCAGCACCCTGGAGAAAAATCCTGTGGCCATCTGGATAAGGTCAGAAGGGTGTGTTCATGTCCTTTAAATGGGCAGAGAAAGGAGTCCTAAGGAAGAATAATGTCTCTCCCTTGCCCTCAGGTCACAAAGAGTGAACCACACTGTCAGATCCATGTATAGAATAGTGCAACCAGGCCTGGAGGCATCCACCAAACTATCCTAAGCTTCACTCAGATCTCTTCACTCCCCCACATGCCCTGCCCTCCTTGGATTCCCCTTTCCTACTACACCTCCTGCTTTTTCAGCCTCTGCCTTCTCTGTTTTTCTTTGCTTAGGTTCTTCTTCCTCCCCATCCTAGGATCACATCAGCCAATGGCAGTTAGACACCTGCATGTCTAGGGCACTCTTCTGTGGCATTAGCACAGCTGAGTCAGACACTGTGACAGTCCTTGCCATCATAACAGTATACTAATTAAATCTGGAATATTGGTTGTCTTACAGGGATCTTTGCAAATAAAGAAAACTCAAAGTCCAAGACTATCCAGACAAGCTCTTAAATTGTCTCTGCTCTTCCCTTTCACTTACCTCTTCTACAGTGCTAACGAATCTCCTCTGAGATTTTTTGGGACTTAGTAAGCTTCGACGACATGGAATACTCCATGTTGAACTTGTAACAGACTTAATTGGGAAAGACTTTTCATAAGCAGAAACTTGGTGGTGGTGGTTTGATCTTCCCACAAAGGAATTTGATGTCACACTGCAGAAGAAGTTCAATAAATTAATCAACTTACCAAGCAAAACAAAGATACCAAGGTAACACAGATTTTGATTGTTTATGCTGCATAAACACGACTAGAAAACAAGAACACCTCCCTCTTCTCATTTCCCTGCACTCTGATCCAAAAAGGTACTATCACCTTTATTTTCTTCTAGTTTTTTTAAGAACAAAGATTTCAGAATAACTATGGTAGTTAATTTTGTCCAGAAGATGGTTGACTCATAGAATAAAGCTATTGATAAGAATGTTTCAGTATTTTTACTGAAAACAAGTGGCTATAGAAAGAAAAATCAAATACAAAAAAATAATAAAAACTTGTTTAGAGAAGAGTAAGATGTAAACAGGTAGTGCTAAAAACAAAGGAATCAAGCTTGAGTCCTAGAAATTCCAGCCTCGTCCTGTTATTACGGAACAGGCATGGTAGGAACAGAACATTCTCACTAAATAAGAGACAGCAAGAAAACAACCCTGCTTTGGAACTGAGAGACATAAGCCCCCACTCCAACCTGTTCCTTGTGGTCACCACTGACCTTCCCCTCCTCCTCTTCCACGTTAAAGCCAAGACTAGTCATCCTGATGGTTATAGGCAATTCTCCAGATTCAAAGGAAGCCTGCTGCTAAGAAGCACCTGTTAGGAGCAACAGCATGTCTTGTTTGTGGGTGCACAAAAGGTAAGTGCTTGAACATGATGCTGAATTAGTTTGATTCTGCAGTTTCCTTTTTACTTCCTCAATAGGGCTCTGCTTGTCTTTTTGCAGATATCTTGATATTGTTTAGAAAAAGGAATAGGCCTATTCCATTAGGACTGAGAATATAATGAGAAGAGCAGTCATGGGTATGGGAAGATTAAGGATCTTCCCAGATGAAAAAGAAAATTATCAGGTGCCTTTAACAAATACTAACAACGCAATCTTTCCAACCGTGTCATTTACAGTTTGTGTAATGGGTTCCCCCTAAAAAGACAGGTGCCTCAGAAATAGGATTTATTTTTTAAACAACATAACTATTTAGTCTCCAAATGAGGAGGTGCTTGCAAAAACTGTGAACTGGAAAATCCAATTTCAACAAAATTCTCAAGTTAAAACCGACTTGAAAGCTTCTAGCAATTTACATATTAGGCCACCAGATGAAGCTGGATGATTTGATTTTTCACCACACTTCCTGCAATTTATACAATAAATCCACCCAAGCAGAACCAGATTTGATGCAGCATCTCCTAGCTAGAGCAGAACTACATCCTGGAAGGGAGAAGCAGGAGAAAAATACGTAAAACATGGTGTCAGGGCTGTATAAGGAAACTAGTTAAAGCAGTTTTCCTCACATCAAGGGCCATTCTGAGCTAGATCTCTTACTGGAAGAAAACCAGTTCCCATCCTTCCTCCCATGCTGTGATTTTACATCACGCAACCTGTAGTGAAGGAACCTGTTGGTCACCTAATCTGGATACATGATTCTGGTAATGACTCTTCTCACATGGCCCTCAAAATCATATATCCAGGCTACCCTCAAACCATTATCTAATACCTTACAATTTTACTGTTACTGTTTCTCTGATTAAATCAGGCCTGCAAGTGTATAAAGAGCAAAGAAACTTTTTAAATCTATTCAATACTTGAACATTTAGCTAGATATGGAACCAAGCCTTCACTGAAGCATATAGGACTGAGTCCAGAAGATATAGAACAGCAAGAGGTATTTGGGACTGAAAGCTGCCATCCTGATTATGACTAGACACATCCTGCTACGGCCTGCTTAGAGCAAAAGCACAGCAATAGCAGTTGGCCCTTGTGATCTCTTCAGTTACTGCCAGATTCTCACACATTAATGCAGAACATTCTTCTGTTCTACATTTCAATGTTCTACTCTATTGTTTTGGTTATTCAGTATACAGTAATGACAAAATCCTTAGGACATCATTAGTTTAGTGTTTTACTGCCGGCATTGCAAAGAAAGGTAATTCATCAATATATTGTTAAATAGGTTCTTTCTCTACGTTATCTATGGTATTTGTTCTTTTCTAATATCTGAATACTTATTGTTTTAATTTTAATATGATGTAATTTATTTATATGGTGTAAGCTGCCTCTTTATACTCATTGTTATTAGCTTTAAGCATAAACTTTTAATGATGTAAGCCATCATTGTATATTCTTTGTTTTCAGCTTTAAATATTGTCTTTCAATGATGTCAGCTACCTTGGGTCCTTTTTAAGGAGAAAGGCAGGATAAAAGTATTTTAAATAAATTAGATATAAATATCAGAAACTACTTCTAACTGTATGAGGTAATGCTTTGAAGAACACTTGCATTATTTGTTTTGAGTTTCCAAGGTTAACTATAGAGCCACCTCATTAGACTAGGAAGTTTATATTTAGGTCAAATACTAGAAGACCCGGGCCTTTTTGGTTTTTGATTGGCTAACAGGAACTAAGTGTATTGTTATAAGTTTTCTTATTCTTTGCTTTTCTGTCACATTTTATGTCTGATACTTTGTGTACTTTTGTTCCTGTGATTGCCTTTGGTCCTTAAGCCTTAATTTTGTGAGAGCTCTGATTTCTGAGTATTTATAGCTTGGATTAACTGGCTTTAAATTTCATCCCAGTTCTACACATTTCCAAAAATGATTCTATGCATTCTTACTCCTTTTACCTCTCTCCCTTAAAATAAAACCTACTTGCTCACAGAATGTGTGTGCATATGTGCATAATGTGTTCACATGTATTATTCAGAACAGTCGCCTGACATTCTAAAATTCTGGGGAAAGGATCACCAGTTTGGTTGATATTTTCCTAGATCCTTAAACATCCTGGGATGTTTCTAACCCTGGGAGCCTTCTAACCCTAGCAAGATTGGACAGAGGGAGTGGAGGCAATGTACGTATCTTCCAGAACTGTTGTGGTCTCCGGGTTCTTTCGATATTCCATATAAATTTAGGCCTCTCGTTTTTGATACCAATAGAGAATTATAATATGCTACTGCATGTTATCTAGATAAAAACTATAATCATTTTGTATTTTAATCACGGAATTACAGAAAAACAGTACAGCTTCTGTAGCTGAGTTTTCTCTTCATGTTTAGTGACTGATTCATGAAGTTGTTTCAAATACTGTACTAAGAAAACTGAGGGATAAAGTTGCAGAATTGCCAAAACAATCCTGCCAAATACCCATCTCTTGACTTTTAATAGCCACATTTTGGCTCCTTTTTTGATATTCATCACTTGGACTCACCATTAGTTCATCTGTCTGCAGAAAGGAGATATTTGAAAGCAATAGATGTACTTTTGCTAGTCTGCTAATTTGGATGAAAGCCAAGTGTTTGGCCCGAGTTTTGCACGTATACTCTTTGTGAGACCCATCTGCCAAAAGTATAATCTGTGGAGGCACAGGTGCCAATTATATAATGGTTTCATGTCTTGGTCAATCAGACAATTATATCTTAATATCATAAAACATATTCAATCTTGTCTGATTTCAAAAGTTAACCAGAGCCAGGCCTGGTAAATACATGGATGGGAGACCACTATGGAATACTGGTGATCTTCAGGGAGGACTACGAAAGAATCCTGCCTGCAACATTGAAGAGTTGCTGCCAGTGAGATTTGCCTACTCTGGGAAAAAATAATAAATGGTCTGATAAAGGAGCTAAATTCCTTTAGAGAGTCCAACAGATTTTGACTACAGAAGCATTTGTATTAAATTCCATAGATGATGCTGTAGTCCTTGTGCAGTGTGCTATAACAAATCCTGGTTTTGCAGGGTGGATGTAGTACACTGTTACGTATAAGTCTAAGTCTCTTTGGCCACGGTGATCTTAAAGGCCATTAGTCCAATACAGGAACAGTGAAAGGAAAAGAAAATTTAGGAAACTTGGAACAGCTGCTCAGTTAAGAGCAGAATGAGGAGCTCACAGAGATAGCTTGGTCCTTGGTAAAGTCAAAGATCAACTGTGGAAGAAGCCTTACTACCAAAACATCATTTTTAAAAGATAGTTTATAATGACTGGACCCAGACTGAGCTGTCCCATTGATTTCAATGGTTTTTCCCCTGAAATGTTATATTTACTGCTGTTCATCTGATGTGTTTTCAGCTATTTTTAGAACAATCTGGTAGCATAAGCAAAACATAAACAGTATTAAGACTGTGTTTAGATACTGATATATATAATTGTGTAAAGTACTGGTTCACATATTGAAGGCTGTTACCTATTAGAAAAGCAACTGTTATCACTGACAGCATTCTGTTACTGCACATACTAACTAGAATTCTAGCCCATTACATGCTAGTATTACAGCAGTGGCACAAGCAACAGGAAACAATGTGCTGGCTGGCTACTGGATGCCCCATACTGTACTTCTCATACTTGTACATTTGGGTGTGCAACCAGTTGCAAATCAAGTACAGCACTCAGGGCCAGCAAACTGCAAAAATCACATTGTTTCACAACTGTCAAAGTGCAAAAACTATGCCACTACTTCACAATAGGATTTTGGCTACCATTTTTAATTTTTAAGTGCTTGTTATAGTCCATCTACTATAGCAAACTGAAACCAATGAAAACGTCAAAGGGAAAATAAAACCCAGTTAAATTTTATGTACCTTGAACCTTTGCGTGTTTCAAAATACACACTGCGACTTGGTCTAGTTTTCTGGGGAAAAGGACCCAGGGGAGAACCAGAACTCTTCCACTGTCCATTGGCACTTGTTCCAAATGTTCTCAGCGTGCCTGCAGCTTGAGAGGTCTCAGGGGAAGCAGATTCTACCAGGACAAAAGATTGAACAAAAACTATAAGACACTGGGTTAAAACAAGAGGTACATAAAATATGTTGAAGACAAAAATACAGTATCATGGTACCTAAAAAACTAACTTCTAAATTTTCAGGTGAGCTTTTCTGGACTTTAGGCATAAGGAAGTGAACTTGTCCATGAAAGTTCACTTAAAAAATACAGCTACCGTGTTTCACCAAAAATAACACAAGGTCTTATATTAATTTTTGCTACAAAAAACATATTAGGGCTTATTTTCAGTGAATGTTTTATTTTACAGTCATGTCATCTTCTGGTTGCTGCACAATGGTGGAAGGCGGGGTTTCACTTAACTGGGGCTTATTTTTGGGGTCAGGCTTATATTACAAGCATCCTGAAAAATCAAACTAGGGCTTATTTTCAGGTTAGGTCTTATTTTCGGAAAACAGGGTATTAGTCTTTAAAGGTATTAGTCTTTAAGGTGTCACAACATTTTTGCCTTCATTATGTTTTATTTTTCTTTGTTTTAGCCTGATATGCTAGCACAGACTAACATGGCTACATCTTCTAAAGCTCTAAGGCACCAATAGCCTCACATCTATTATCAATTAAAGAGCAATCCAATTGGCTTAAGCATCCCCAACCTTTAAATGAGTTTGGTGCACAATAACCATTGGCTTGAGGGTCTCAGTGCACTTGAATCCCTTGAGAAAATCTAATGAAACCTCATGTAAAATGTGTGTAATTTAGCTTCCACAATCACAGCCAATTTGCCTCACTTTTCAGCAAGCTGGGATATCCTAGCTATAAACTCTAGGTATTCCTTTAAAGTAAAGATGGGCACAAACCACAGGTTCGTGGCAGTTTATTTGTTCACTTCCCTGCCTCACTTCCTCTGAGTGCTGCCTCTCCGTGCGTGCCCACCAGAGGTGGGGCTGGGAAACACCAAAGACATGTTTGGCCGAAAACAAACCAGCATGTTGCATCCATCTCTACTGTGAAGAAACATTTACACAATAACATACCATGCAATCTTATTTACACAAAACTCTTGAAAGTACGGTAACATTTTCATCCAATTTTGTGCATCATACATAAGAAACAGAGACCTATCGCACTTCAATATTATCAGAAAGTCTAAAATGCATTCAATGTGTTTGTACTCCATAATAAGCAACCACTTATTGTGTAGATGGCATCAGCTTTATTACAGTGTCTGAGCCCAGGCTGTACTGTAAATTATTCTTCTGATCTCTGGACAACAAATTACATTTCAAAAACACAGATAATGGCTATCCAGGTTATGAATTAACATTCTTATTGCAAGAAACTTCTAGTTAAAGAACTGAATCAAGGAGCAGTAATTCTTCCTAAAAACATAAGGAATACTGCAAATTATTTGGAATTTCAATTCAAATAAAACATTGTTTGTTTCTGAAGGGCATTACTCTGTCAGTGGTTCCCAACCTGGGTAGTCCAGATGTTCTTGGACTGCAACCCGCAGAAACTTTGACCAGAAGGCTTCTGGGAGTTGCAGTCCAAAAACAAATGGGTTACCCAAGGTTGGGTCTACGATCTATGTAAAAGACACTGAATGCAGCATATCCAACATATGAACCTGCACTACAGCAGGATAGTCTGCAAATATTTTAAAGTCTCTTAATCAGTCTTTCAACTGACACCAAAGGAGACAACCTTACCTGAGCAATAAGTGAAACTAGCAGAAGCATTTCCAGTTGGACAAGTGAAAGGTGTTTCCAAATTGCCAAACTTGTTCGATAAAAACTGAACAGAGAAAGAATAAAAACCAAAGGAAATTCAAAAAGAATTACATCCAAATATTTTAAAAAAGCCTTCTTTTAAAAAAAATCATGAGGCACAGCAATGCAAATAGGTTGACTAAAAATAAATGATTTTTTAAAAAATGAAATTGATTTAAACCACAATTTAAATTTATTTTGATTTAAGTATCAAAATATGTGATTTTATTTAAATCATAATTTAAACAGTGATTTAAATCAATTTCATTTAAATCAAATCCACCCACCCTTAAAGCAAGAGAAACAGGAGTTGCAATGTATCAGGACCTCTAGAATGTTCAGCATGAAACCATTCCCAAAACTAGTTATGAAAAATGCTGAGATAACCCATATAGATGATATGTAATGTTCTGGGAACAGAAAATAAATAACCTTCTACCAGGGCTGAGCAAATTCAACAAAGCTGAGAATCAAATACCTACCACAGGCTCCTGCAGACCCAGAAACACCTTCAAAACAGAAAAACAAATCCAAACCGGAAGTATCAAGAAGGCTCCTACCATTTATGATTCTTGGTTGGGTGAAGGTTTGGGGCTTAAGGGACACCCAACCTGCTTAAAGGAAATAGGGAAGAAAGTAATTTATTGGGTGGCTGCTGATATTTCCTCTCAACCAGTAGGATCAATCTACAGTTTATTTATTTGTTTAACTTATATGCCGCCCATCTGGCTGGAGGCCACTCAAGATAAGAATGAAGACAACCCATGTAACTAAGATCATCTCGGGTATTCTATTATCACATGTATTCTGCACTGACACAGAATCTTGGAGGGCCTGGAGGGCCTGAATATAGAGCCATGTTGTAAAAGACTGCACTGTGTGAAAATCTATTTTAATAACTGGCACAAATATTTCTTCAATTTAATTTGATTAGGGAAGTCAAAATCTTTATATCAAGTAAGCACTGCAGTTCAAAACACAGACATAAACTACATTACTTTTTATACTGGCATGTCAGAAAATCAGAATTCTATTTCTGAGCAGACACATGCAATAAAAACATTGCACAGGTGAGAATGCAGTTAATTCCCAGACCTTGCTGTCACATAATGGAAGCTGGTCTCCAGATATCGCATTTTGTTGTCGAGGAAAATTCTTAAATACAGAAGAGTGATTAGCTGACGGTGAATCTCCAGCATCCATCTTCATACAATCAGCAGGTTCATCTGAAACAAAAAAGTATCTTAGTGCCTAATTCCTCAAAAGCAAGAATATCTAAATAATATGAGAGATATATTTTTCAATACTCTTTGATAATCAGGACTTATCAAAGGATAGAGGTACTATATGCCTTGTTGACTACGGAGAGCAGAGAGAACAAATTCCTCCAAAACCTGATTCCAAAACCTTAAATATAAATTTTAAAAATCAGTAATTAAGTCCCTAAAGGCCCCCCAGATTGCAGCAACAGGTTATATCAACAAATTTCAGTGGCAACAGGGAGACAGGGAAAATAGCACACTCCGTATGAAGTCTTTCGTCTTTGCTGGAGGGAAGGTAGAGTACCACAGGACATGAAGGATGCAAACATCGTCACATTGTACAAGAACAAAGGAGACAGGGTGACTGCAATAACTACTGTGGCACCTCTCTTCTTAGCATTGTAGGGAAGCTGCTTGCCCATGTTGTGCTGAAGAGGCTCCAGGTGCTTGCAGACAGAGTCTATCCAGAATCACAGTGTGGATTTCGAGCTAATAGATCCACCACTCACATGGTATTTTCCCTCAGACAGTTGCAGGAGAAATGCAGGGAACAACGCCACTCTTTATGGCCTTCATAGATCTCACAAAGGTCTTTGATTTGGTTAGCAGGGACGGCCTTTTTAAAGATTGGATGTCCACCTCGACTCCTTAACATCAGGTCCTTCCATGGGGGAATGAAAGGCACTGTAGATTTTGATGGCTCAACATCAGATCCCTTTGACCTCCGAAGTGGAGTGAAACAGGGCCGTGTCCTCGCACCAACCCTTTTTGGGATCTTTTTTGCTGTCATGCTTAAGCATGCCTTTGGAACTGCAACGGTGTCTATCTCCGGACTAAATCAGACGAAAAGCTCTTTAATCTCTCTAGACTGAGAGCAAGGACCAAAGTCCAACTGAAATGCATACAGGACTTCCTCTTCGCAGATGATGCAGCCATTGTTGCCCACTCTGCTGAAGACCTCCAACAACTCATGAATCATTTCAGCAAGGCCTGTCAAGACTTTGGACTAACAATCAGCCTGAAGAAAACACAAGTCATGGGTCAGGGCGTGGACTCACCTCCCTCTATTACCATCTCCACACAAGAATTGGAGGTTGTTCATGACTTTGTGTATCTTGGCTCAACGATCTCTGACACTCTCATTCTAGATGTCGAGCTGGATAAACGCATTGGCAAAGCAGCTACAGTGGTGCCCCACATGACGATAATCTGTTCCATTAAATTCGCTGTACAGTAAAATCGTCGTCATGCAGGGGAAAAGCATTGGAATGCATTGAAAACTGGTTAATGCGTTCCAATGGGGAAATACCTCATCGTCCAGCGAAGATTGCCCATAGAGAACCGCCGATCAGCTGTTTAAAATCGCTGTCTTCCAAAGCTTCTGTCCAGAAAACAGCCATTTTTCGAAGGAAGGGAAGCCATTTTGCTGAGCCGGAAAAAACATTGTTCTGCGAACAAACAGTTCGCGAAGCAAGGACCTAATGAACTTAAAGTGGATTTCCCCCATAAGAAACATTGTCAAAAAAAAAATTCAGGTCTATAGAGCTTGTGTCCTGAGCACACTCCTGTACTGCAGTGGACCCTTCATGCACAGCAGGAGAGAAAGCTGAACACGTTCCATATGCGTTGCCTCCGACACATTTTGGTATCACCTGGCAGGACAAAGTTCCAAATAGAGTAATCCTAGAATGAGCTGGAATTTTTAGCATATATACATTACTGAAACAGCGATGTCTACATTGGCTTGGACATGTCATGAGAATGGCTGATGGTCGGATTCCAAAGGATCTCCTATATGGAGAATTAGTGCAGGGAAATCGCCCCAGAGGGAGACCGCAGCTGCGATACAAGGACATTTGCAAGCAGGATCTGAAGGCCTTAGGAATGGACCTCAACAGATGAGAAACCCCGACATCTGAGCGTTCAGCCTGGAGGCAGGCGGTGCATCACAGCCTCTCCCAATTTGAAGAGACTCTTGTCCAGCCGGCCGAGGCAAAGAGGAAGTCACAAAAGCAGCAAAATCAGGGAGCTGGACAGGGGACAGATTGTATTTGTCTTCAGTGTGGAAGGGATTGTCACACTCGAATTGGCCTCCTCAGCCACACTAGACACTGTTCCAAGTCCTCCATACAGAGCACCTTACCATAGTCTTTCAAGACTGAAGGATGTAATGTAATGTAAATGGTTACAAGGACAACAGCAACAGAACTGGGAGGGATGTTTCAAAGCTGAAGGCACAGCATTACTTGGACCAGATCCTAATCCTATACCCAGATCTGCCATCACAAAGGCTCTCCAGATTTGCATAGTTAAGTCTGAATTTACATGACAATATAATGCTTTATTGATGTCACTCATAGCTGGAGCTCATTTGCATAACCTATGAGAGGACAGGAGGCATGGAGGCAGAGAGTCAGTTAAGGCAGTTAGAGAGGAAAAAGAGGAGGAGAGAGGTTTGCAGAAAGAGATAGACAGCCTGAGAACTGTAACTAACAGAGATAAACTGATTAAAGTGAATAAATAAAGCAGGAGGTGATTGAATGTGTGGCAGAATATAGGAGAATTCAATGACTGTGATTACATGAAATGAATAAAGACCATCTGTGATTCTGAATTACCCTAATGCCCTTTAATAAACAAGTTCTGTTGTTGGCAGCCAATGTCTGACTAAAGTCCTTGACAGCTTGGATAAAGAAATCCACTGGTGGCAGCGAAAGAAAGAGGGTACATCACCTGAGGGAATCCTTGGTTTGGGAAAGAAAGAAACAGGGGCACAGGTGAACGTAACAATTGAATATTCCCTTGATATAGCTTTAATAAAAACAATAAGGTGCAAATGATATAAATTACATAAAATGCAATATAGATAACTAACAGGGACTCACCCATTACTCCACAGCTCACATAACTGATTCAGAAGAGAAAAATTACAAGTGCCTAAGAAGAGAGCAAGAAAATATAATTTTGCATGATCTGTGGATTCTGCATTGCATTTTAAAAAGACTTCGGGCCAACTTCCTTCCATTTTTGCCTACTACAAATATCCCTCTACTGAAGTTCAAAGACTAGAATGAGAGCTCTGAATTTCTGAAAAAGAAAATAAGAGACTTCTTGAAAACTAAGAAAAGGCAGCTTGGGCCTAAATGTTCTTATCAGATTGGGGGAATTGGGGTAAGTACAAGACAGAAGTGCCCCTCCAGTGGAAGGTGAACATCCACCCTGGAGACACCTGTTATACTCAAGGAAATGCTGTTACTAGACCAAAAAGCCTTTCAATTGACTATATAGCTGTTTGTCTGTCCATTCATTCAATGTCTATTTTATTTTTTTTTATTTTTGGACTTATATACCACCCCATAGCGCTACAAGCACTCTCCGGGCGGTTTACAACATAATGAAACACACATAACACTTTAAATAAAATTCACAAACACAATAATATAAGAAATCAAATTAAACATGTCAATGAACTTAAAACTAGGAAAAAGATAAGAAAATACAAAAATAATTTTCAAAGACAAGGTGGCGCAGCAAGGTAGTCTTAAGCTCCCTGCGCTATCCCAGCTCAGAGCTGGCATAAATCACTCCCTCCTGTTGAACCACTTATGGGAGGCATTAAGAAAAGCAACAGCTCTGCATGTGAGAAAAACACTAAATTTTCCACTTCATCCCCTGTCCTGCTCACTGTGAGCCAGCAATCAGTCTACATATGTTGTATTCCTAAAGATTGCACTGGAAGCACTGCTACTGAATTTTGTATGAAAAATACACTTCCTTCTACAATTTAAGAAAAAGATTAAACAGAGCTCTCTAATAACTGTTATTTATAGATAAGTAATTAAGTACTTTTGTCTAATAAAATGTAATGTTTCAATTTATTTTGAAATAAAATTTTGAAACATTACTTATCCTCTTCATAAATTGGAAATTAAATTCTGTAGCTCTTGCAGACACTAAATCGTGTAAGGATGTCCAGGTAACAATGCTTTATTACCCAGCCTGCACATCTCTGCTAGATATAATTACCATTAGCCCCCATTATTTATGGCACTCCCTGGAACTTTGGAGGGAACTGTGGAAATGGCAAGTACCACATTTTGTCATTGTATTTTTTTATTCTTGTTTAATATTTGTATACTTACTGATTTTAGCTTTTAAATATTGTCTTTTAATGATATAAGACCCTTTTTAAGATGAAAGATGGGGTAAAAACATTTTAAATAAATAAATAAAACTCATTGGGAAAAGCCCTGAATATGCTGGGAGCCAGGACATGTGACAGACTGCCTTCACCTACATGTGCTCATCTGACTCTCAATATCCTTAAAGGAGACCTTGCTGTCAACAGAATGACATATGGTAATGAAGGCAAGGCTTCTCAACCTGCCCACCCAAAACAAACACTCCCCTGTATCACTGAAAGGCAAAAAACAAAAAACAAAAAAAAAACATTATCATGTGCTAATTATCTGCTGAAAATGTATCCACCTATGTGGGTCCTCCATGATAGTTAACTATTACGACTCTGTGTTTCTGCACTGGTGCTGGGGTAATTTTAATTATCTACCGTGTTTCGCCAAAATAAGACAGTGTTTTATATTAATTTTTGCCCCAAAAAACACATTAGGGCTTATTTTCAGGGAATGTTTTATTTTATAGTCATGTCATCTTCTTCTGCTGCACAATGCTGCACAATGGCAGAGGGTGGGGTTTTACTTAACTGGGACTTATTTTTGCGGTAGGGTTATATTACAGTACGAGCATCTTGAAAAATCATACTAGGGCTTATTTTCAGCTCGGGTCTTATTTTCGGGGAAATTTGTTTAAAATTGTTCTTATATGGGTTTTATATTGCATTTCATATGCACTCCAATATAAAACACTTGGAAATTTCACTATACAGTATTAGCCTACCTGACAACGAAAATCTTACTCAGAACTGTCCAGAAACAAAAGTATCACATTTAGAACCTCACAGGAATCACTGAAAGTGTTGTCAGACAAATGTATGACTTCTCTTCCCCCTACAATAATACTGATGATATCTTTCATGAGTATAAGAAACTTGTAAATATTCCCAGGCAACATTCCCTGTAATTTTTCGCCTCACTGTGTGGGGCTCCGCCCCTTGTGTACACAACTCCGTCTCCCCCATGTGGGTTTCCATCACGACTGGAACTAAAGGGGCTGGAAATGCTCGCTATGGGTACAGAGAGGAGGGGGAACACGGAGACACACACAGCCATGCACCTTAGAGCAGTGGTCCCCAACCTTTTCAACACCAGGAACCGTTTTTGTTGAAGACCATTATCCCAAGGATGGGGGAAGGCATTTGTCTGTCCGTGCATGCAGAGGCCATTTGTAAGTGTGTGTGCCCGTGCATCTCTGTGTTCAGGGGGGGCGTCTGTGTGGGCGAGCATGCATCCATGCGTGCGGGCTGGAGTGTGCGCGTATACGCGCGCATTCCTTCAGGCCTCAAAGATCTGTCTCAGCAGCCCGGTTATTCAAAGCTATTGGGGACATCTGCCTTAGAGGGAACTTGTTCCAAAGTAAGCATACTGTATTACATTTTGAAGCTCACTCTCATTACCAGCTAGAAGAAACATGTTGTCCTCACCACTATCATAAAACTAAATAAAGCCAACCATATCAATGCACATAACTAAATCATAACACTGTCAACTCATAAAGGTGGCAGTTTTAACCAATAAGCCAAAACCATCTGAATTCTTCCATGTACAGTGCCTGTGAAATGCAACTTGTTTACACTCACATCATCATTACATAATTAAGGAGATGAATATCTATCCTGCACTCTTCTTTTCACATGTTCTCTGGCATAACCAGAAATTAAAATGGAACTAGTTTTTCAGGCTCTGATGATCCATCTAATTGCTCTGCATTATGATGATTTTGCAAATAAATGGACTACTTCACTGTGCTAAAAACATGTTAGTCAGAATGTATATAATTGTGTGTGTTGCCTTTCCCTACCAGACTATTTTCTTGTTTTAGTTTTACAATCAGGGCAGAATAATAAAATGGAAGAATTGTTTCACTCCTACAAAAACATACAAGTAAGTGTTCCTGATACTATGTATCATTTATCTATTTATCTTATTTATTTATATTAATTTCAGACTAAATTTCATAATTTAAGATTGCAACTGTCAGGGAAAATACTTAAGTGTACAAAATAAAGGGAAAGCAGATTAACTTTTCCTAGTAGTGTCATAGAGAAGTAATGCAGTCATTCAAAGGTCAGAAAGAACATACTGTATGAGCAGGAGATTTCAAATTACAGGAGAATTCACAGTCTTTGAGAAGTATGGGCATAATGATAGTACTGTATTAGAAAGTGAAATACTAGGAGGACAGGACAGAGAACCTCCAGATCGAAGACAAATTCAAATCAGCACATGTGGGAATGCAAGAAAAAGACATGCAACAAATCACCACTATGAAAAATACAGATGTGGTGTAGTGGTTGGAGAACTCAGCTAGAACCCGTGAGATATGGGTTTAAATCCCCATTTGGTCACATACTCTCAGCCAGGCCTCCTTTAAAAAGTTGTTGTGAGCACAAAGTGAGAAAACAGAACAACATCAACTACTCTGAGCTAAATCAAAGAAAAGCTGGACATAAATGTAATAAGAAAGCAAAACTTCAGAGGCTGATTAGTAAAGATACCAGAAACAATCAGTAGAGTTTAAAGTGCAGGAGGCACACAGAAGGGCAAATATAGAGCATGGCTAAAAATGTGAGGGTACCAAAATAAACAAAACAGCAAGATACCACCAGAAAACTTCTAGTGAACTAAGATAGGAACACAAATGACCCCCAAAGAAGGAAGATATAATATGAATGTGAAGAGGAACAGATATAGAATTAGGCTTTCCATTAAAACAGAAAACAACAGATCTCAGTATATTAGTAAAGTACATGTTTCATGTGCAGAACATTCAATCTCTGATACCTCCAGCTTAAGAAAGCAGCTAAGAGACAGGAAAGATTGTTGTGTGAACCCTTAGAGCTGTCTTTAGCTCAAAAAGACAACACCAAGTTAAATATGCAAATAGTCTGACCTGGCATAAAGCAGGTTCCTATATGAACAGAAAGTGCTATCAGCAGTTTGGGTCACAGCCTTGGCTACTGCATCTCTTCAGTATTCCTAGTGATGAAGAAAAATTAAAACAAGGTATAGAAGAGATTATAACCATACACATGAAAACTATAAAATACCAAATAAGTGACATGATCTATTTTTTGTTTCTGCCAAAACAGTAAGATATTTAAGCAAACTTACTATATGACAATCTTAGAGATTTAAACTTTAGGAATTACCTACTTTGTAATTTTCCACTAGAGCAGGAAAAGAGAGGGTGGAGTGTTCATAGGAATTTGGAGTAACATTATTAAAATCTTAGGTCAGAAAATATGAACTAGATTTAATAGTCATAGTGATGAATTAAAGACTATAAAACTATCTGGTGTTATTTGATATAATTGTTAGTATGAATAATATTGTCAAAATGAGGGTGGGAGCAAGACTCTTGTACATAAAATCATTCTGTTATTCCTATACTACAGCTCTGGGGCCCCCAACCCCTGATCCGTGGCCTGGTACCGGGCTGTGGCAGGACCAGGATGCAAAGACAGATCTCCCACCCACATTCCCCACACACATTCTACTACATACATGCACACACTCATGGACACATGCATGCCCCCCACATGCACGTATGGGTGCCCAGCCCACACACACAAACACAGGTGTTCCACCCCCCTGCCCGCTAAACCAAACCATGGTTCGGAAAAGGTTGGGGACCACTACTATAGCTGAAGGCACTTTTTACACTCCTACTTTAACCTATTGTAGAACAATGAGGCACATTGTGTTTAAAAGCTCTGCAAAAGAATGTTGACAGCTGTTCCTCACTGCATGAAAACTAAAAAAAATGTACACTTGCCCAAATCCTCACCACAACTGCCATTGTTAACGTACTAAGAACCTGCTGCCATTCTCTATTTTTCATTGGTTTAATCTAATATATGTTATACATTGAGACACTGACCACAATAGAAGAGGTTAATGAAAAAGGAAGCTGATCATGGGAGTAAAAAAAAAAAGTACCAGTTACAGATTAAACCTCCTCTCTGTCCTCCTCAAACTCCCTCCCAAACATTTGCAACTTTTGTTTCTCAACATTTATAGTGTTTTGGACCATTCACAGGACTACTGGTACATATGGCCTCAGCAAATTTTACATCAGTTCTGTAATGTTTTGGTATTATTGTTTCATTATGCACACAGAGGGGCTGATATAT